ACATTTATCCTCGATTACAAATCAAAATGCAGATGCGTTGTCACCCGTAAGGACTAAGATGGAATGCCTCGTTTCCAGTAAAAAGGGTCTCCGGTTCTCTACACTCACCATACGAAATACAGCAGCATTAAGCTACTATTTCACGCTGGTATTCGGTGAGAGCGTGGTCCTTCCCCGGTCGAGCCGACCCATTCGTGCTACAACTATACTACTAATATAACTGCAGCATGGCTCTACCACGTTTTAACTTGGTTCTTAGGCAATATTGTTACGACAATAATGCTACGAACACGTTATGTAATCGTTAAACCGGCTGGCTGAGACAAAATTTGTGCAAGAAATAGCAGTAACAAGTTTTTCAAATAAAAGCGAGGTCGTGGCCTAACCGTTTAAGCAAACAAAGAATCATAACTTATATCTCATTAAGTATAACATTGTTGATTTGCAATTTCACACAAAACGGATTTTTCCGAATCGATAAGACTCAGGGACTTTCAAGTAAAGTATCTACTGCCTATTAAAAGGCCAGCAACGCACCTGTTAATACCCCGTTGTTGCAGTAGTTCATGGGCGCAGTAGTCACTTAGCATGCTCATTTGCTGCCTCTCTATAAAAACAGGTCCTCACTAATATATTAAAATCGATTCGATTTTTTTTTTACCACAATCAAATCAAACAAACATCATCTTTTTTTATAGAATCAGGGTGACAAACGAGCACACAACCGTAAGTAAGTGAATATTGTGGCCCAACGACATCAACATTTATCCTCAATTACGAATCAAAATGCAGATGCGTAGAAGGGTCGCGAATTAACACTGGTCGCTACGTGGCGGCCACTCCTAGATATAAGACAATACTTCTTCCCCTTATCAGGTAAGATGTATGGTTATAGGAAACAAACATTCAGAAGCACCAGCCTTCCTGACCTCTTACTTATTTCGAAGAGTATAGCGAGTCAGTATAGTATCAGATTTAAAGGCTTTTGAGGCATTCCAGTCCTCAGCGGTAACAACTCATCTATAGTCATTTTTGTTAGAAGCGCAGGTGTCCATTGCCTGCAGGAGTCACTTACCATCAGTTAGGCTGCAAGTTCGTTTGTCACTTCAGTTTTATTTTTAAAAAAAAAATACGTTGCTGTAATACTGGCATAAAATACGTTAAACGTCGAACACAATAAAAAAGCCAAGGTCTAGAAATAAAATAATGTTAAACGCAATTTAACTTTGTTTATTTTGTAGGTATTATTCACTGGTCGGCGAATATAACACTATCAAGATAAGGTTTTATTGACACAACAAACATGGATAACAACCGTAATCTTCTCGAATTTAACCAAAATGCGCCCGCATAACAATGAAATATCATTGATCATTCTTAGTTAGTGAGTTGGTTACAGCCTTCCGTCTCACGGCTGGGCACAGGCCTCCTCTTTTTTCTGAGAGGGTTTTAGAGCAAGGAAATGTCCCAGCTGCCTCAATGCGTATTGGCGAGCTTCACGTCTTAAAAAAAATCACATTTTTGTCAGACATACCGTTTTCCTTACGATGTTTTCCTTTACCTGCGAAAATGTGGTAAATCAGCACTTAAAATTGCAATAAACAATTTCATTGGTGCCCGCGACGATCGACCCCGGGTTGTTCACGTGCTGTGAAATATACTGCGAGCGCTTAGCATCTTATCTACCACAGCTATTATTCACGGCTTCCATTAATCATTATTGCTTCTTCATAATCATCATCATTACAGTGTTTCATAAGCCCAGTCTAAACATCCTCCAAGACTTCTTCTAAGCTAGATTACCGGTTCATTTCCACTTCGGGTTGCTGATATATTGGGCTATGTCGGTAATAAGAAACAAATATTTCTTTGGTTTAAAACGATTTGAAACCGGTCAACAAAATACAATAGTATATTTGCAACGATAGGGTATATTTATTATCAATACTTAAACAGAGTTATTTTGCAATTTACGACCAAATTTGCAGAGGAGGTTCGAAATAAGTAAAGTAGGCGAATGGTGAATAAAATTTAATTTTAAAATATCTATCCATTCCGATCCTTTTTATCTTTTAAATTCATAATGTATGGTTAATGAGTTATTTTAACTGATTGTTATACATAAATATCTAACGCCTACTAATTTAATACTAACGCACACTTTCGTACGAGTCAATCGGTCGGCAACAACGTTGGGAATTAAATCGCACACAGGAGGAGCGCCTGTACCCAGTTGTTGCCCATAAATCGCATTTAATTTTTTTCAAACATAAGTAGAAGCCTTATTTACTCGCATTTTTAAACACTGGAATAATGTTTTGTCACTATTTATATATTTGATTTTGGCTACTCTTTGCAAAATAACCCTTTATAATAAATAGAATAATACTAAATGTGCAAGACGAAATAAACTTACAGTTGAGCTAACAATAGTTTTGTTAATTTTTGTAACAATTAGGTCCCGGACGCTATCGCGGTATAACATGTCATGCATGCATAATCGCTGATTGATGCGAATGATATGCAAAGCACGCGCTGGCGGTTTATTGACTATTCATTTATTTTTTTATACTACTGTGACTGACTTAGACGCATAATCGTCTTCGGATGAGTAATAATGGACGCCTTTGTTAAGTTCAATTTAGTCCTGACATAATTAAATTGATAAAACAGCTGCAATAATACAAATTTTAAAGGGTGTAAAAGACTCAGCTGTTAATCAAATTTAGAAACAAAGGAATAAATATTATTTTATGACTATTCTAGTACTTGTTTCTTTCGTTTACCGATAAATAAAGGTTTATCAATTATATTTCTGATATCAACCGCTATATCGGTGTCTTACGGATTCTCATGAAACCTTTTCAATTCACGATACGTTTAGCCTATTTACAGAACAATCGGAATATAAAGTTATAAAGTCATACACTCATAAACAACTAGGTAATGCTTGGTTCTTAGGCAATATTGTTACGACAATAATGCTACGAACACGTTATGTAATCGTTAAACCGGCTGGCTGAGACAAAATTTGTGCAAGAAATAGCAGTAACAAGTTTTTCAAATAAAAGCGAGGTCGTAGTCTAACTGTTTAACCAAACAAAGAATCAAAACTTATATTAAAATAACATTGTTGATTTGCAAATTTCACACAAAACGGATTTTTCCGAATCGATAAGACTCAGGGACTTTCAAGTAAAGTATCTACTGCCTATTAAAAGGCCAGCAACGCACCTGTTAATACCCTGTTGTTGTAGTAGTTCATGGGCGCAGTAGTCACTTAGCATGCTCATTTGCTGCCTCTCTATAAAAACAGGTCCTCACTAATATATTAAAATCGATTCGATTTTTTTTTACCACAATCAAATCAAACAAACATCATCTTTTTTATAGAATCAGGGTGACAAACGAGCACACAACCGTAAGTAAGTGAATATTGTGGCCCAACGACATCAACATTTATCCTCAATTACGAATCAAAATGCAGATGCGTTGTCACGCCTGAGGACTGAGAATTTTGTTTTAATTTTTAAGCAAAAGATAAATAAAAAAGTCAACAGTTATAATATTTATCAGTGTATCAAATCGTATCAAATAATCCAATTTTGAAATGAAAAAACATTTGCTCAATAACAAACTTTAATAGGTATTCAAACTTCAAAAGGTCATAAGAAGTTGGAAAATGAGAAACAAAAAAATTATTACAAAAAAAAAATTAAAAACTGAATTTGAATCATATATAAATTAACAATATTAAACATTATTTTCAAGATCGAGAACATCCCGAAGGATTATCGCACTATACTGTCCTGGTCCCGGGCAACTTACATACACTGACTTTCTTCGTGACTTACCACATTGTCACTACACGAAGTTACTATCAAAAAATCTATCTTTAATACTTATATAGCCATCCCATTGCCATTTCCACAGTCTTCTTTAGCTTAATCAGTTCGAACGTACTTTTAAAAAGCGTTATCACTATCAATTGAATCATCATCATTGTTATGATCATGCTCACAATTAATACAAAAATAGAAAGATATCATGAACTTCTATAACAATACTTATATGTGACCTGCAAGAGCAAAGGTCTCCTCTTTTTATGACGGTTATAAAATCAGTGGCTGCTTGTTTCTCTACTTTAATAATCATGAATCAATCATTCGTCATGGGCTTCACGCCTTTGTATAGGCTTTTTTTCCGAAAGCTATTGTTATATTTAAGACACCTTTCGCTCTTAAGCACTAATACAAAAGATTTTTCACGAAAACACACCCAAAATAAAACGGCCGACTAAAGTTACGTTCGACAATATAAAAGATATTAAGTACTAAGACCAAAAAAAACGAGCGATCCTTATAGTAGTCGCATATGATGTGTAACATCTGACATCTCACCTTAGTAATTAGCATCATTAACATTATATCCTGAAAAAGGCTTTTTATTTTATATTTTAATCAAAATTAAAAATATCAATTGAGCATCGAAAGAAATTAACCTCAAAATTTTCTCTCAAATTTCAACTCACTTGTATTTTTTAACAAAAGTCTGCACTTTTTTAAACACCTATTAACAACAGTTAAAACATTCATTAATATAGTTTACACATATAAATTAGTTAATATAACAACACACTTTACTACCACCGCGCGCGCTCATTGCTCAAATCAAATAACGCGCGCTTCCCCAGCTTCCTGTTACAGACTTCCATCTCCCTTAACGAAATCACTCTCACAAATTGCGGGAAAGCGAGAGGAAAGATGTTACACATTAAAAAACAAAATCAAAACAAAATTAATAAGTCTGTGACACAACAAACATAAAACTTATAATTTTCCTTTAGTTCTTATCATACTTGTTTGAATAACATTATAAAATCTTATGCAATATCTGTATACAACAAATGCTAACTACTAGTTAAACGTTAACATCGCTCTCTGTACTTAGGATTCCACCAAATCCTAAACTGTTTGTATACCGTTCGTTGTTTCACTAACGTGTCATTGTTAAGTGCAGCGCACAACGCGCACACATTGTCCGACGGGGATGGGTCGTGATAGGTGTAATGTTTCTTCCATCTGAAGTAGCTACTATATAAATTAGGAGACTGCATCAAACGAGCCATGGTGTCAGCCAAGTCTCTGGGAGACATCTTCAGGGCATCCAGGTACGTATCCGGAGGTAAGAATCTGTATTAATTTAAACAAATGCATGAAACATAACAAAATATTATATCAACACATTTTTATATATATATAATAAGAGTGCTAAGCTATCACGCGGTCCCTTGATAGTAAGTGGATGTTGTGGTCCATGGACATCTACACCTATCATCGATTAAGAATCAAACGTCGATATGTAGTCACCTCTGAGGACTAAGACGCAATGTCTCGTTACCAATAAGAAGCGTCTCCGGTTCTCTACACTCACAATACGAAACACAGCAACATTAAGCTGCTGTTTCACGCTGGTATTCTGTGAGAGCGTTGTTCCAACCCGGTCGGGTAAACCCTTTCACATCATCGTAAGCAAGACAGTGTAATCCTACAAGGAACAAGTACTTATATGACTTACCAATAGTGGATGGAAGTTGCTTGTTAATTTTCAATTCATGTAGTGTGTAGGTATCATAGAATACTATAATACACAATGGAATGGCTGTCAACGTTATTTTGTACGAGATTCGGCGTCGCCGGGTGCACACATACAAGTAATTACGCCGTATTATCACTACTACAAACCCGATTCGCTGTGTTGACAGACGGATTTTAATACATATTTATTTGTAAATAGCGTGCAATTTAGCATCAACAAAATTTACCTTGTATAATTTGCGCCACCATATACAATAGGCACTGTACGATGTTCCAGAGCTGTCAGAAGTTTCTCTATAAATTATGCTGCATTTTCTAAATAATTTGCATGCGAAATTTGGATACGTGTGAATTGACGTATTAGTGACATTTTAGTGGCTACACGCTCTCCGTCCACTCCTCCGTTCTATTATGTATGTAATTATAGTATTCCATGGAAGGAATAGCACAGTAATAGATATAGAAATGCAATACAATAGACAGTGACTCGAATGCTAGGTTTCTTAACAATGTTGCTTATTGTTCAACGCAAAAATATTGATAGTCATTGTTTCGAGCTATCACGATTGCAACGGCTACTACATGTTATTTTTTTTAAAGTATTGTAAGAAATATATAGTAAAGACTGTCTTTGTGTTTGTTAGTATATTGATCAGTCTTTAATAGACTGATAACTTCTAAAAAAAGTCGGCTCAGTAGGAAGTTACCGTGTCATTATACTTATTATCACTGACTATCGAACGGTTTGTCAAACTTAGCTATTTAAAACTACATATTTTTTTTATAAAACTGTGTGACAAAAATGAGCTTACAGTCCACTTGACGGTAAGTGGCTAATGTAGTCCATGGTTACTTCATACATTAAAGGCTACAGATGCGTTTTCACATCTAAGTACTAAGATGGAATATTTCACAGCGGAAGCACTGCTATTTGGTGTCAGAGATAAGTAAAAGGGTAGTACGTACTCAGAGGGACACCTAGGCAGAAAAGAAGTCCTTTTTATAGGATATGGTGACAAACGAGCACACAGCCCATCTGATGGTAAGTGGTTGCTGTGGCCCATAGACATCTACATTTTTCCTCGATTACGAATCAAAATGCGTTGTCACCCGTGAGGAATAAGATGGAATGCCTCGTTTCCAGTAAAAAGGGTCTCCGGTTCTCTACACTCACCATACGAAACACAGCAGCATTAAGCTACTATTTAACGCTGGTATTCTGTGAGAGCGTGGTCCTTCCCCGGTTGAGCCGACCCATTCATGTTACAACTATACTACCAATATAACTGCAGCATGGCTCTACCAGGTATAATAAGCCTAATCCTAACACTAAATATACATTCAATCATTCATTTAAAACAGCCGATAACAGTAGGTTGAGGGGATCTGCTGTTACCACAACGCGCATAATTTTAAGCTAATTTATACTTGAATTTATAACGAATATACCTTAACATAATTACAACCATTCACAAGCCCACAACTTGGAAAAAACCTCTCTTGATGATTGTCTCATAGGGCGGGTATTTGCGATATTTTCCACGCTTGGTAACCATTGTCGTCAATCTCAGTTTTCATAGTTGTCATTAGAAAGACACCGCTGCTAATCTCCTAGTTTGCCTCCCTCTGTCGCTTCTTACGATGCCTATGGGACTATATGAGGTAGTTGATATTCTAACATCGCCACTGTATGGGTATATACAAAGTAAATTGTTAAAAAGAAGTTTTACTGGGTTTAGTGCTGTTTCTTCCAATGAACAGGTGATTTTTCCGAATGAGTGGTTAAAACATAAAATACCTTCAATAAATATTATAAATACGAACAAAAATTAAGCAATCTATTCTATTCTGTTATATAATTGATTGATATTAATCGAAAATTTACCTTGTATAATTTGCGCCACCATATACAATAGGCACTGTACTATGTTTCAGAGCTGTCAGAAGTTTCTCTGTAACATAATCTTCCGCGAATGAATTCTCTAAAGACATGTAAAAGAAATAATCCCGTTCTAACATATCGTCACAGATGTTTTTAGCATATCTAGGGCATTTCAATGGACCACAATCGCCATACACGTCTACAGCTAATCCATGTCGTTGCAAATATTTTTGTAAATTTCTTACTAATTCTTTTCTTCGACTTCTGCTAGAACAATTTGACACAAACCACGCCGCTGCCTTACTCTTATTCCCCTTGTACATTACATCTTCTTCAACTGATAGATTTTCTTTCCATTTCATATCCTCCTTCGGCCCTACAACTTCACCGTTAAGATTTTTTATTTTTATATAAGTAAATTGAATGTCAGAGTTCAATTTATATGTCGCCGTCCAATTAAAAAAATCATCGAACATGGCATTGCACACGGGATAATTATCTGAAGACTCCATATTGAAGTATATATATTTCTGGTGCGGCGATCTATGTTTTGGTAGCTCATATTTTGTCATGCGTTTAATATTGCATCCGTTGAATGCTATGGCGTCAAAATTGGTTATATCGTCATCGAAGAAGAACCTGTTATCTGTAACGTAACAGTTTATCATAGAACAGTTGTTCTTAAGGAATGCGCGTTGTCCTTCTCCCAGTTGACGGAACGGTTCATAATCTTTCTGTGTCCACAGCAAAATATACTTAAGGTCTTTCGACAGCCATTTCTTTTTTTTGTAAACCTCCACATATCGAGAATCTCTTGCGATATTTTCCAGTGCCTCTTGTATAATGTTGTCGTCCACTGGGAAGTTATTTTCTTTGCTTGTGAATTGTATAAACAATATGGAAATAAGGAAACTGATAAAGATAACCAATAAGAAGAATTTAACGGTGATCGTTTTAATCAAGACTGAGGTGAAATAGTGCTGCAGTTGTAAGAATAAAGGCCTGTTTGCAGCATTCTTGTTAAGGCACTTTCTGGAGTAATCGGTGTAGGCGGGCATGGGTGCGTCTAGATAAAGGATCTCGGTGCTTGTACCTATAAAAAGCAAGGCCTATAGTTTTTCAGATGTAGAGCAGTCGAGGGAAGCCCGGTCGACAGAGCCCCGCTTTGCGGGGCTCCTACTTCTGAGTAGTTTACAAAAAAATAACCACAAAGGGAATGGTGGGGTCTATTCGCTCGCTTCACTCGCTCACTTGACCCCGCCAACCCCTTCTAACCTAACCTGTCCGAATCGGGGTGCCCTAAGTTTCGAGCTCGCTTCGCTCGCTCTTGCACTGATATATGATATGATGCTCTGCCTCCACGCATACGGCTTTACAAAATTCTTTAGGAGTAGGGCAGACAAGACTACATGGATTTGGGGCGTGCTGATTTAATTGAAGTACAGATTCGATCAGATCAGATATCTATAAAGTCAATTTGCCTTTTCTCCCGCCACAGCCACAAAATTCTGTATGCAAAATTATGTATGTATCCTTCTTTTACAGTAATCTTGTATAATTTTTTCTCAGAAGGGCTAGAACCCAGAGCCGTAAAGTTAGTTAATAATAAAAATTGTATCATAGATTACTGTGTATATACTAGAGAAACGTATCATTTCCTATACTTTACGCATTTTAGGTTATAATAGTTTTTATTTAGTTTTTCGATAACGATGCATTACCTTTTAATGTGAGTGGTATTATTATAATCGGGGACCAAACCTCTACCAAATAAAACACCGTACTCCTCCAACTTCCTGCTAACGATTCTAAATCCAACCCTCGTAGCCTTTAAAATATAGAAATAGATATTTATTTATGTAGATATATTTAATGTCAAATTCAAATCGCGCTGGTATTTGATTCAATATATCTCGCATTTTTCAATTTATTGTCGAGAATAAATTTAATATAAAGCTAAATGAGTAGAAGTTACCCTTTCAATTATTACTCGAAATTAGATTTTACGGACTGTTAGTAACAATATACACAGATATTGTAGCGCTCTTGAGATCACTAGGTAACCCAAACAAATACGATGTTCACCGTGCAAAACACAGACTTCAGGCTTAATGACACCTCAAATTCGCAGAGTTCTGCCGCACTTGCGCTAATGGTCTGACCCAAACACGAGCAATATTATCGCAAAACGCAAAAAATATTAGGAGAAACACACGTCACTTAAATTAGCGCGACGGACATTGACACGCTGACATATTGGTTGGTAGGCATGAGACCGATATATCAAAACATGACTAACAACGTTATGTTGTCAAAATATCGTATCATATCGATAAACCTAAGCACACAACTGTTACATATAAGGATATCAGATATCCTAAAACGAACTGCCAACACGGCTCACGAACTAACCAGCATCCTTTGTTTGATAGTCGTTGTTGCTATTGTTATCGTATATACCATAAATAAGTATAGAAAGAGATGAAGTGAATATGGATTTCGTTGCGATGTTTTGGTAGTTATTACACAACGGTGCATTTCACGAAATATAATTACCTAAAACAAAAAGATAAAATTTTATGTGGTCTAAATTGCCCCAATTTTAAATTTGTTTAGTTATGAGAGCTATTAAATTTCAAAGGATCTTTATTAGGAAATTAGACACAAGGCTTAGATTTGTATGACTATTTAGATATATTTGGTTAAGGTAATTTTTGTTTGTGTTTTGTTTTGAATTAAATTTTTTTAAAACGCAGCAATTACGCAATTGACCTAGGTGACACTAGGGGTCGCAATACCGGACCTCTTTTCAAAAACAGTATTTTCAGTTTTTTTTAACATAGTGAGAAAAATATTTATAAATATGTAATGTAACGTAATTTTCATAAGGTGTCACCAGCCAGTCAAGAGAAGTGTGATATGATAAGAAAATCACATTTATTTAAAAAAAATCAATAATTTATTTAAAGTTTAATAAATAACTCACTGCTGCTAAGTTATTTTAAACTATTTAAACATAAGAAACCTCCAGTTATCAACCTTAACAATATCATAAAATACTCCTGCTCCTAATAAGTAACTTCTTCATAGGCCTACTTCTTCATATTCTTATAAACTTCTTCATTATCCTCAGCTTTAACAAAACATAAAATGCTCTTTGGCGATTTATCTTTTTTTTTCTTCACTTCTTTCATGGAAATCGAGTAGGAGCTTTTTTTGCTGTATGGTGTAGTTAGAAAAATTTTTCTTATCTTGAACGTTAAAATCTACCACCGGTTCCAAAAGCGATACCTCTAGAGAAGAAGAAAATCTGGTTCATAGATTAAATTCCATAGCAAAGAATGTTATAAATTTACTTTTAAATGAATTGAAGAAGTTTAAATGAAACTAAATTTTACGAATTTTATTGCGTATTTTAACTTATTTTATATTCCCGTCGTAGTTAAACACGGCTACCTTCAGTTAACAATTATTAGTTTTTGGTCCGATGTACGCAGAATGGGCGCATCTTGAAGTCTAGCAATTGTATGCTTGTTTTGGGATTTAATATTATAATTTATAGGATGCCAAGAAGATGCTAACACCCAGTCATTCCCTCGTCATAGTAATCTTCCCCATATCATTCCAAAGCAAAGTCGTAAGAAGCGTGATCTTTCAGTTCTCTTAGTTGAGGTTGGGAACTGTTATCTTTTTTATAGAGCACGTCTAATATCGCTAACTGTATATCATGAGCAAGGCATCGCTGGTGGAAACGTGCTGCTTCTCTTCCAAATGCGATCATTACACTAGCACCGTCATTAGTTGTATAGGCGAGCTGGCGGATTCGTCGTCGGCTCAGGACTCGGGAGTAAGTACTCTCTCTCACTCACTCCAGAGTGTAGTCGCGCAATTTGCGTTGCATAGTCGAGCCGCGTTGCCATAGCATCCACCACGCGAAAAGCGTGGGCTATTTAAATTTTTTTGACATAATATTATTTAAGAAAGATTTATAATGAAATACCGAAAAGTCATAAATACCGGTTTCCGTTCACTCAATTCCGGTATTTTAAAACTTTCGTTTAAGTTCGGTATCCCGGTATTTTCGAGATTCGGAATCCCGGTTTGCGACTCCTATGACACACGCCGTTATCAAATCAAAATCAAAAAATATTTGTTTCTACAACAACGACAGACGACTTTATTTTTATATTTCTTATATTTTCGCAAACACTACACATTGATTATAACTACTTTTACGGATTTTATGACGTTTAATTAATTTTGTTTTTAATACCCGACGTTTCGGGTTCTTTCCAGCACCCATGATCACAGGGGACTGAGGTGACTGACGTCCCGATGTCAGTGTTAACCAGAAGTAAGTTCAGCTTTTTAATTAATATTTTAGGTCCGATCTACGCGTCATGAACTTACTATGTTTTGAAGTCTTGCAGTGGTATGCTTGGGTTTAGTTTCAGTTTTATAAATTACATGGTCCCAATAATCAAACCGATGGTAGTACCCAGGAGGCTGGGTACTACCACCTGCTACTGTATTCTCTACTGAAATTAAGGTGTTTTTTATTTTCAACAGCCTCACGTATCATCCTTGGTAGAAATCGATGTTTTTCGCCAGAATTTATGGGCTATCAAATTTGATGAAATGGTTTGGGAAATCTAGGACGTGATCCCAAACTGCAGACTTCCCGGAACGTTGATGCTTCACACCAGCTGCGTGTTTTTTACGAAGGTTCTAATTGATCTTTTTGTTTGTCCTGCATATGAGAGACCACATTCACAATCAAGCTTGTACATTCCTACATCTTATAGAGGAATATGACACTTAATGGATGGTAAGTACTGACTAATCTTATTGTAGAATGTTCTAATAGAAGCTCGCTTCAAAATGTAGCCAATTTTGTCTGTAACACCTCCGACATATGGTAGTACAGCAGGCACACGCTCGACTGTGGCCGGCTTCAGGTCCTGTCGTGCGGGACCTGAAACTTGTTGTCGGGCAGAACCTGCTTGACATGCTGAAGCTCGGTGGCCAGGTTTTTGCTGTCACAGATCCCTCGTGCTCTCTGTAACTAAGATTTGCCCACGGTACCTAACTGTAAAGAATGATGGTGAGATTCACCGTTTAAATATTGGTTAGTAGGAGTCTTTTTTCTATACACAGTACGACCTATGGTGTTGTTAGGATTTCGTATGATTAACACATCTAGAAAAGCTAGGGAATTTCTTGCCTCTAACTCCATAGTAAATTGAATTTTAGAGTTTATGGAATTAAGATGTTCTAAAAATGCAGTTACTTTGTCTGATGGTAAAATTGTAAAAGTATCGTCAACGTACCACTTGTCGAACCTTGGAGTAACAGGTGCAGTAAGAAGGGCTTTCTCCTCAAAATCTTCCATGGATATATCGGCGACAATGGGAGATACAGGTGGGCTATCGCAACGCCATCTACATGCTTGTAAAACTCTTCCTTCCACAATAGATAGCCATATGTAAGGCAATGTCTTAGTAGTACTGCATACTCTGGTGGCATGTTATTTTCATCTAGTTTCCTAGTTATTATTAAGATGCAGTCTTCAACAGGTAGGAATGGAAATTAACATCGATTCCTACCAAGGTTGATACGTGAGGCTATTGAAATTAAAAAACATCCTAATTTCAATAGAGAAGGAGGCTAGGTACTACCACCTGCTTGGGATCCTATAATCAATAAAATTAAAACTAAGCCCAAGTATACCACTGCAAGACTTCAAAACATAGTAAGTTCATTCCGCGTAGATCGGATCGAACAAAATAATTAAAAAGCTGAACGTACTCCGGGTTAACACAGATATCGGGACGTCAGTCACCTCAGTCCCCCGTAATCATCGATGCTGAAAAGCACGCGAAACGTCGGGTATTAAAAACAAAATAATTTAA